TTAAATTTGGTGTCATTTATTTAATTATAGGAAAGCACTCAAAGGCTATCTGTCTAAAGGGGGAGATGCTGTTGTGGAGGATTTTCAAAGAGAAACTGGCTCCTGTACATACATTACATATGAAAACAATTAAAACATCCATGTAACCAGTTCATTTGCTGGGAATTGAACCCTGGGTTAGAGTTGACTTAAGGGTACCCCTTGTATTATCGCAAAGTTGTTGTTTCATTTATTGCCAAGTTGTTATTTCATTTACGGTATCCTGAGTAGTTGAATCTTATGAAAATCCTATTATGACATAATCGGTTACATGATTGCCGTAAATTTGTAACGGCCGGTGGTGTGTGTGTGTTGATTAGAAAGTATATTGCTTGTTTCATGGTTTAGACGGTAAAATGGCCGAATGTGGTAAGATTAATTTGAAGTTTCTGTACGATTTGGAAAGAAAAGAGAAAGAAGCATTACTTGACTGGTGTGTAAATGAAGGTTTACTAAGTAGACATTATTAGGTGTCCTGTTTGTAGGAAGGAAATGCATATGGTCGAACGTCATTACAGAGGACATTTTGCATTCTTATTTTGTGAATTAATGTGGCGACGCCAGTATACAGATTCTAGTTCAGATAATTTTAGGAAGGTTTTTGGATGCTTTTAAGGAATTTTGTTTGACTGAAGATGTGTGCATTCGTAAATAAAGTACGTGGATATTTCCTTTGTGTAGTGCAAAGATGAATTTCCTTTCTTATGTTATTTCATTGTTTGATTTAAAATGTAGTTTATTGAGATTACATATTTTCTTGTTGGCTGCTCCTTTGACTTTTGACGTAAATATATTTCGAAGTGTATATGGACAAACTCAAAGGATAACTCAATAGTCTAGTTTGTGCAATTCTCTGATATTTTTTTAAGTGAAAATAGGTCGATGTGTACGTGGATACTGAGTTTGTGCAATTCTTTGTCTTGTTATTTTGGCTTTGTGTAGCAGCAATTTTTTGTGCAAAAATCGCAGCTACACAAAGCCAAAATAACAAGAACTGCACAAACTCGGTATCCTTGGCCAAAAATCGCCAGCCAAAATAACAAGAACTGCACAAACTTCAGTATCCTTGGCCAAAAATCGCCAAGTTTTGCCAAGGGGTACCTGTAAATATACTTTTACCGAACCCTGGACCAAACTACCAATGTTCAACAACTTTACAGCTCGCCCCCTAGTCAGCCTGATTTGGAACAACTAACCTGCATGGTATTTGTACTCGCAGCATTCTAAACAGTGCTTCAGGTGAAATCGGAATGTCTAACATAGAGGTTCTCAACCAGAGTGAAATTATTTTCTTAGGGAGGGGTGCAGAGGAGAATTTTGCACTTGCAAAGGAGCATGCAGTGAACCTTTTATATAGCTGATAAGTATTTAGTTTTAAGTTTATGAACATAAAAAACTACTTTCATTCAAGTTTTGGAATTTATCAACATTTTCTGTACTTTCAAATTGTTTAATTTACAAAACACATAAAAAAATTATCTAAATCTAAATATATGTATATTGGTATTTTTCGAACCTGGGAAAGAAAGAAACAATCTTCTAGCAATGGTGAAAGAGCTGAGAGGGACAAAACAGATTAAAATCACTTGAAATTGTAGAAATAGATGGAAACTCTTTTAAAAGCGGAAAAAAAAAAAAAAAAAAAAAGGATAGAATACTGAGTACTTGCTTAATTGGGATCAGTTCGTTCAGAATTTCACAGGAACAACTGCCAAAACTTTGCAGGGTCTCCTTTAACATCGATGGTGGCTATCTTTTATGGTTGATGAGATAATACATAAGTAAGATATATTTTACTCTGAACTTGTAGATGTACCAAAGAATAGTTTTACAAACACAAACTAAAATATGACACTTATAAAGTACTATCACAGATATAAGAAACAAGAGAAATTAAAAATTCTTAGGACATACTGCTACCAGTTAATCACATCAATATTAGGAAAGGTGAAAACTAGTTACTCTGCATTTGCATACATCCAATGCAACCTGAGCTCACACACTCATTTCAAGTCAGTGAGCTCTGAAAAGAAATCATCTCGAGGCTAATCTTTAGAATATGGTAACAGGTAGTTTGGCGACATTTTGGTAAGGCGATAAAGGTTACTAGCTAGGACTTTAGCAATAATCTGAGAAGTACACAGTTCGAATCACAGATTATTTTGTCTCGGAGAAATGAAAGATCATGAGACATGTAATGCGACATTTTCCGGAAAATTCCGATTGTGATTTTAGCTAATAAGCACTTAGAAACAATTTCGCTGCTAAAGTGCAGAATCGCCCATGGCTAATCTTTGGAATATGGTAACAGGCAGCTTGGCGACATTTTGGTAAGGCAATAAAGGTTACTAGCTAGGACTTTAGCAGTGTACATGGATAAAGTCAAGAGTGTGCGCAATGCCATTTTTGTGAAATTCTGGGATTTTTTTTTTAAGTGAAAATAGGTTGACGTGTACATGGATGATACTGTGTACGTGCAATTCTTAAAAACGCGGCAAGCAGTGGGCGATTCTGCACTTTCTCCCAATTTCGCACCTAACCTTCGTCATGATAAGATAAAGCACTTTTGTTCCATAAAAGTTCTAGCATAAGCATAATTTGGCTAGCAGACTTGGAAAAAAATGTTAAGTAAAAAAAAAAAAAATGCCTTTACTTTGTAAAAACAAAATGGCGTCCAAAAAAGAACTAGCAGGCTGCTGTAGCAGGGTTAGTTGCCAAACAATCGCCAAGTTACCATAATCCGAAGATTAACCTCGCCCACTTATTTGGTGCTTTTTACAAGAGTAAGAAGAATTGGATTTTTGTCAATTTTCTTTGACTTTTTAAGTGAAAATAGGTCGATGTGTACATAGATAAAATCAAGAGTGTGAGCAATGCCATTTTTGTGCAATTCTGGGATGATTTTTTTTAAGTGAAAATAGGTCGACGTGTACATGGATACCGTGTATGTGCAATTCTTAAAAATGCGGCAAGCAGTTTGCGATTCTGCACTTTCTCCCAATTTTGCACCTAATCTTCATCACGATTAAGCATTTTTGATCCATAAAAGTTCTAGTATATGCGTAATACGGCTAGCAGATTGTTGGAAAAAATGTTGAGTAAAAAAAAAAAAAATGCCTTTACTTCGAGAAAACAAAATGGTGTCTAAAACAAAACTAGCAGGTTGCTGTAGCAGGGTTGGTCACCAAATTTTCACCAAAAAATCGCCAAGTTACCATACTGTAAATATTCACCGATCTCTATTTTTTAAATAAAACTTTGCTCTCTCCTTCATTACATGAAAAATAATTTATAAAAACAAATGATCTTAGCATATTGCATAAAAAACAGTTAGCCATAAAAGTCCTTTGGCCAGAAAACAATTTCACCTATCAAATAATTCCGGGTAAAAGTTTACAATTGGGTGCCCCTTGTTTTTTGGCGATTCTTTTTTGACGCCAAGATCAGCACCAGGAAGGCACAATTTCAAAATGGCCGCTACACAAAATAAGAAGTCAAAGAATTGCACAAACTCTGTATCCATGTACACATCGATCCATTTTCACTTAAAAAAACATCCTAGAATTGCACAAACTAGGCATTGTGCACTGCCTTAAATTTGTCCATGTACACATCAATCTATTTTCATTTAAATAAAATCAAGAAGCTAAAACAAAGTTAAAACTATCATGGTAACCAGAAGTGAGGTTTCATCGCCAAAATTTTTTAAAAAATTGTCGATAATCGAAGGGGCACCCAATTCTACACTAGAGCCTAGTTCCAATATAGCTACTTGGAAGTGTCACAAGGAAAAAAAAAAGGGCCGAGCATTACTGATTATTTTATATAACATATTTATGTAAATGTGTCATAATAAAGTTTTCCTTAACAACATATTTTATTTCTGCTTTGAACTTTTGAAAATAATTGTACAACATAATCATCTAACCAAGAATTTTTGTAATTTTTCAAGTGTTTAAATAATTTAACATTCAGTAATTTACAAATATTGCATAGTAAAAATATTAAAATTAAAAGGAAAATATTAACGCTCATCATCAATAAATGTCATAATATATTTATAAATTTTGAATAAACTAAATAAGAAATGGAAGTTATACAGTTGGTACTAAAATTTTTAAAAGGCATATATTAATGTCACTTCTAAAAACAAAAGCTTTCTGTTAATTAGATGACAAAAACATACAGTGCTCATATTATTTACTATGACTATGTACTAGTAAAATTTTAAGCAATTTATTTGAAGCTGTCATATGACAGTAACAAACTTATATTAAAAAACTTGCATCTTATACAATAGTTAAACATTATATAATATTAAATTATATTTTTCAGTACCTACAAAAAGTTTAATTACATCACAAAAGAATGTTCAAAACTACAGGATTTCCTTTTGAATCATAGTATATATTACAAACGATCTATACTTCATTGTGGCCAAGTTTTCGACGGCTGCCTCCTTAGGAAGAGTTGCCTTCATGGAGGACTTCCTGCCTTTCAGGCAACAATAAATTCAACATAGAATAAATAACATTAAAAGTAAATGGAACCAAGTAAAACAGATCAAATACTAAATGTGTACATTTCTGGACAGATATTACAAAACTATCCAACTAAATGGAAATTCTAAATAATCTTTTAATCATCTTAGAAAGACTAAACATTATTCCAATTCTAAAAATAAAAATACGGAAAGTTTATAAAAATACACGGTATAATATATATCTGCAAATAAATTTCTCTCCGTAGAATATTAAGACAAGCAGATTCTATAAGTTTCAAACTGAAGATATCCATAATTTAGAATCTAGGAAGTTTTTTCAAGAAATATAGGTATTGCGATTCTTAATTTTTCTATGCACTTCTTATTTGAAATATGAAAAAAAGGAACCCAGGGAAAAAATAAATAAACTAATTACTACTTCCTAAAAAAATCAGATAAAATGTGCATTTCAATTTACCTTCGGTACAATTCTTATGTGATTAGAATCCAATAATAGTTCTTCCACAGTTTTGCATGCCAATACATCATCGGGAACTTCTTTAAGATTATTATGTCTTCTATCAATAAATTGTACATTCTGATTTAAAGGGCGCAAAAATGTAAACATTCTTCAAAGCCGAGATAGACATACGCAACCATAACTCAAACAAACATCGCTCAGATTGTAGCCAAACAAATCTACCATGAATGTGTCATTCCGAAAAGTTTTTTTTCACACATTTAAATAAATCAAGCAACCAGTGCTGGTTTAAAAAAAAATAGGAAAAAAGAGTCGTACTAAATATGTGAAGAGAAATTTCATGACTTTTAACCCATTTTATTTGAATTTTAAAAATGTATTTAAATTAGTTTTCTTCTGCAAAACTTGAAAACTCGAGGTAAAATATCTGTGCGCAGATATTTATAGTTCTCACCATTAATTTATAGATAATAAATATTGCTTTATTTTGCTTTGATATAAAATTTTAAAAGAAATAAAACCGAAAAAGAAGAAGAGGTCCGTCGGTTCTAATCTGCACCAGACTTTACAGTGGTTACCAATGCAGTCACACCATCAGGCAAAGATTAAATCAACTCAATGATACTCATACTGTTGCCCAAGAATAACGCAACTGAACTAAGTACCTAAATGGAGAGCTATCTCCAAGTACAGTCGGTTACAAAAGTATTCGAACATCGGAACACATTCAGAAAATATACTTTTCAGGTGAGAAACAAAATGGTGGCTCATGTCAATCTTGGTGAGGTGGGAAACAAACAAAATGGTTCAATCTTGCTTATGTGTGGAAAACACAAAATGGTTACTCTAACCTATCTTGGTGAGATGGGAAACAAAATTGTTGCTCAAAATAGATAGGTTTGAGAGGAGAGAAAACATAAAATGGTCGCTCCAACCCGTTTTGGTTCAAGAAGAGAGAAAAAACAAACTGGTCTCCTCAGTCGATCTTGGTGAGGTGGGAAACAAAATGGTCGTTCCAACACGTCTCGGTTCGAGAAGAGACAAAAACCAAAATGGTCACCCCAGTCAAACTTAATGAGGTGGGAAAAAAAACGGTCACACAAACTCGTCTTGTTTCGAGAAGAGAGGGGGGGGAAATTGTCTCCAAAGTCGATCTTGGTGAGGTGGGAAACAAAATGGTCTCTTCAACTATCTAGTTTTCCATCTAGGTTTGAGATGATGGAAAACATAAAAGGGTTGTTGACTTCAATCTTGGTGAGAAGAGAAAACACAAAATGGTCACTCCAACCCATCTTGGTTCGAGAAAAGAGAAAACACAAAATGGTTACTCAAGAAAGTCTTGGTGAGGTGGGAAACAAAATAGTCGCCCCATTCCATCTTGGTGAGGTGGGAAACAAAATGGTCGCTCCAAACCATTTTAGTTCGAGAAGAGAGAAACCAAAATGGTCGCTCCAACCCATCTTGGTTAGGGATGAGAGAAAACACAAAATGGTCGCCCCAGACCATCTTAATGAGGTGGGAAACAAAATGGTTGCTCCTACCAAACATGGTTGGGAAGGAGAGAAAACAAAATGGTCTCCCCAGTTCATCTTGGTGAGGTGGAAAACAAAATGGTTGCTCCAACCCATCTCGGTTAGGAATGAGAGAAAAAAAATGGTCACTCAAACTCATTTTGGTTCGAGAGCAGAGAAAACAAATTGCTTGCTCAAGCCAATCTTGGTTTGGAAGGAGAGAAAACAAAATGGTCTCCCTAGTCAATCTTGGTGAGATGGGAAACAAAATGGTCACGCCAACCCATCTCGATTAGGGATGAGAGAAAACAAAATGGTCGCTCAAGCCAATCTTGGTTGGGAAGGATAGAAAACAGAATAGTCGCACAAGTCCATTTTAGTTAGGCGGGAAACAAAATGGTCTATCTTAGTGAAAACTCTATTTAGTTCTCTCTTCAATGCCTGTTTCATACTTAAATGTGTTCCAACAACTTTGGGCAAACAAAATGGTTTCAATTTCACAGACAACGCAGGAATCTGGAGTCATTATTAATAATCTTTGGTTCTTAGTCGTTACAGTAGAATAAAGTGCTTTTTGTATGGATCAAACCATTTCAAGAGAAAAATAGAATTCAGACCCGTCATGAACCAACTCATAGCATTGGGTAAAACACCAAAGTGTAAAAAGGAAAAGTATTTGGTTCATATTGATGGTCGAGTGAGCTTTCATTACTCGACCAAATGTTCCCGCCAAATTTAGTGAAATTTGGAACCAAATTTTGAAATCCAGCATTCTATAGAATACCGATTCATATTTCACACATTTCCTAGGCATTCTATAAAATGTCAAATGAGAAACTGGCAAAGTATGAAATACATTTCCGATTCGTTTCGAAGAACCGAAACTACTTGTCAAAAGTAAATAAATGATGTAAAAATGCCAAAATGACTACTAAGAAGGAATTATGGGATTACTGGCCGCTGAATCGCTAGGATATGATGTTTATGGAAAACAAAAGTACATCCATTTATCCTGTTAAAGCAAGCGCAGTATTGTATAGTATTACGTCACGGACGCTGAGTTATTTCCTGTGCTTCATGAAAACTCATTTGACTACTGGACACGAGCGACGTGACAGAATGTTGAAAGAACTTTTAACCAAATACAAAAAAGTTACATGTAATGATGTTGAAATATACAACCATTTTTATGAGCCCTACCAGAAAAAACAAAAAGGTATTAAAATGGGCATTGTTGTGAAACTTATGACTGTTTCTGAGTTTAATTTCAGTTATCAGGTAGATCTTACTGATTCCCAGTCTCCAGCTATATAAAAAAATATAAATTTATTATGTTGTATCAAGATCATCTCACTATTTCTTTTTACATGTTTTAAATAGCAGTTTTTTAATGGTACTCTTTTATTAATTTTTCAAAATAGCATTTGTATTTATGAGGAATGAATGTCTTTTAAATAACAGCATCATAACCCTTTTTTCATACTTTGCCTAAAGAGCATTTGTCAATCTTTAGAATGTCTAGGTATTATATATAATGCCTAAAGAAAGTGCGTAATAATTCTCATATTTCATAATTTGCCTAAAGACTTACGGCATTCTGTAGAATGCCGCCGGTAACATATATATTTGAAATCACGGGTTTAAATTCAAATATTATTTTCATATACATTTCTTTTCGTATAAGCATAGAAGTTTTATTCAAAAATACGACGAAACGCGATAATATTCTAATTATTGGTGGTTTTATGGAAAGAGTCTAATTCGCCTTATAAAGTCAGGAGTTCGCCTTATAAAGTCAGGAGTTCCACATTTTGCTTTCTTCAGTTTTACAACATTTACTAAGATTTAACTTCTAAAAATCTCTCATTAAATTAGCATTTACTCTTCGCTTCCTAGGAGATAATCAAAATGAATACTAATAATTAAAATATAGATACATATGGTATCCTTTTGCTTCAACTCCTTTCTTATAAGAAATTGTACCCGTATTAATAACAGTCAGGTCATACTTTCGGTCAACTGAATATCACCTAATGGCATATCAGTAAAGTTGATATGTACTGGTGGTTCTCGAAGGTTCTAGTCTCTGCTGCAGCTAAATAAAGCTTCTGTTTTTCCTTCATGTACACACGTACAACGAACATATGGGCCAGTTTCATGCATAAAGTTCTTAACAAAGGCCAGCCAAAGCCACTTAACACTGGTAGTTCAGTTCGGGATTCTAAACCTGGCGAACGGGCTAGCTGCATCGACGTTTTTGAGGTTTTCCGTACGTATAACGTGGATACGAGCAAGTTCCTCATGAAATACCCTCCATGACGCGCCCTCCCTTTTCGTATACTGCCCGTAATAACGGAGAAGTAATAGATAAATAATAATAAAGATAGTTTTAACGATGTTATTTTTCCTTACAGCAAACAGCGGTAACATAATTTTTCATAATTATACAATCCAATTCCTCTGTACTATCTAATTTTATCTATATTATTTTACTGCGAGACTTCCCCTCAGGGGTCGACGTAGAGAACTTTGCGAAGCCACTGGCTAGGATCTGTACCTAGGCAGTCTCGGCCACAGGGGCCCTGGGAAAGATCACGTATTGGCCGGCCTCAGGGTCTGGCACGTCCTGAGCGGTACGGCTCTAGTAGCCAGGGGGTAGCTCCCCTTGGTTCGCTGGATAATGCCCCACTGCGACGGGCAGCCCGAGCGACTGGTAGGTAACAAATTAACGACAGTTCTGCCTGGTACCCCCAGGTGGGGTGCGCCGCCCTCTCTGAGGGTCCAAAGCGGAGGTTGAATCTCCGCGCCTGGTTCTGAGGGTGGGTGGACTCGTATATGCGATTAAGTTCGCGCAGGCGGGGAATGCCTAAAACTAACTTACTTTACCGAGAGACTGAATTACTTTTCGGAATAAGCCTTTTTAATTGAGAATGAAATTGTCTCACTGTGGCGATGTAATAACGAGAAATGCTATTTTAATAACATTTATAATCTCAGTATTCCTCACATTCTTGTGCATAATAAAAATGCGAGCTAAATTTCTGCAGAATTGACCTCCATAACAGCATTTATATTTTACAGGATAATTATCTGTTTATGACATTTCCAGTCTCTAGACGCGTATATGTATAATCATGAAATCTACCAAAAATTTCCAATAATGTTGGAATTTTATAGGATATTAAAATTTCTTGAAGTTTGCATGACCAAGATCTTCATCTTCATCATCCTTAATCTTATCTATCGTCATTGAACAGTCTACAAGACAGAATTTGTGAGAACAACCTTCTTTATTGACCTCAACGAACAGCTGAAGAATATGAAGCGAAGATAAAAAGAATCTCCTCATTCGGGTAGGTAAAAGCAGCAGGATGACAAAAGCATAAAAACGTTTGATTCGTCGGATGCGAGTAGTTGGCCAGTCGCAGAAAAACATGAACTATCAGCAATGATATTTCATAAAGAGTAAAGCTGTATTATTAACAGGTAAATATCAAGAAAATGTAAACGGAACGTGATGGCAACCATTTGACGTCCTCTGTGTGGTAATGAACATTGGAAAATAGTGAAAAGATTAAAACAGCTTGGTTTATGTATTCTAAAATCAAAAATGCGATTTTCTGTACATCCTGTTAGATTTACAAGAACCATGCTGCTGTCGTAACATCAGTATTGTGTACTGCAGGATTCAGTAACTGAAAGAAAGCTCCAAACAAATTGGCGCGAAGCATCTAAAATCGACAGAGAGTACTTGATTATGTGAAAATTCGAGGCCAGCAAATGAAATTCTAGGGCATTGATGACTAATTAACACAGAGAAAGATAAGAGAGATACCGCACATATCTATGACTAGAGCAAAACACTTTAAGGAAGGGGCACACACACCTGGTGAGCCTGAGGCTGCCTTTACACAATACGGCCCAACCCCCAGAGGCGATCCACGGAGGCATAACCCCCGGTAAACACAGAAGGACAATTTTCTTCGTCTGGGTATAAAGTCACGAGGTCTATGGTGGACGGCTGCGCATCCTACGAGAAAGCACAGAACAGAGTTCGACAACGACGGTCACCAAGTGTCGACCAAGGGGAGACAAACTTAAAAGGTCAGCCTTTGGTATCAAACCATGTAACGACCCCACGGCCAAGAGGCAGACGAGATAGTACCATATGGTCCCTGTCGAGCCTGAACCATTCTCTGAATGAACGAAGGTTCTAGTCTTGTGAGGAGAACGAGGATATACCCCAGTGGACGAGAGTGCGTAAGTACAGACCCTAGCTAGTAGCTTCACCGGTTTTCCGGCGTTGACCCCGAGCAACGAAGAACTGTTTTCCTTTTCGTGGATCTGAAAAAACCTCTAGCAGTCTGTTGACAAAATGTCCAAGGCTCAGCCAAAGAAATCTTTTGAATTTAATATCTGTGTTCGCCAAACAGACGAGATAGTACCATATGGTCCCTGTCGAGCCTGAACCATTCTCTGAATGAACGAAGGTTCTAGTCTTGTGAGGAGAACGAGGATATACCCCAGTGGACGAGAGTGCGTAAGTACAGACCCTAGCTAGTAGCTTCACCGGTTTTCCGGCGTTGACCCCGAGCAACGAAGAACTGTTTTCCTTTTCGTGGATCTGAAAAAACCTCTAGCAGTCTGTTGACAAAATGTCCAAGGCTCAGCCAAAGAAATCTTTTGAATTTAATATCTGTGTTCGCCAAACATAACTCATCTCTCTCTAATTCTCACTCATACCAGTGACAGCACTTAAAAAAGAAACACGATATTTATCAAAGACAATATATAATGAACTTTTTGTCACAACAGCGAAAACAGTTCGAAATAGCATTTCATATAACATCAAAGAAACCCAATACTACACAATAATATTCGATTGCACTCCACATGTATGGCAAACAGAACAAATGAGACAGATGATTCGACAGATAAAAAATATGGTAATATTTGTGGAGTAAAAGAAAGCTTTATTTATTTCACAGAACTTGGAGGAAAGACAGAAGAATATATTTATTAACAGATAGTGGAAAAATGGACACCTGATTATTTGGATACTGGACTTCAGTCTTACGATAACGGGTCTCCTATGCGGTACTTTGTAAAACGTGAGAGAAAATCCTATGGAATATTGGACAGACGAGGCTAAAACAGTGGCCGCAAGAACTGACGTTGAGACAATTCTGATAAATAAACGAATTCTAAAAAGCAAAAAGCAGTTTTATGAATTGTGTGGGTGCGAATCACAACATCTTTAGCTATTTTCTAAAGCAATAAAGATTGCTTCTGATCGACTCTCATCAAAAATTAAAGAGGATTAACAGCACTACTACACTAAATTCAAATTTTGAATCTCTCAGTGTGACATGAAAATGTGAATAACCGAATGTCTAAAGCTGAAATGGGGAAGCAAATACTTTGGTAAACCATTGGTGTAGCTAATGCTTTTTTATCTGGGGCAGTTTCAGTTTGTTGCCTTTGCAATATACACCAAAACGTTTAAACAAGAAAATAAATTTAAACGCTATAGTTAATTCGAACATTCTAATATAATGTTTATTTATTTATGGTTTACTGTCAGAAAAATCATCGATGACGTTATCGAAATCTGGTATTACGTTGTTGCTTTTTTGTTACAATATGGTAAGATTTATTTAGTGCAACTCATTTGTAGGTCTTATGTAATTCTTCAATTTTAATTGCGCAACTCTTCTCATAACTAATAACACTTACAGCAATTATGAGAAAAATTCGCTGTTATATTATGAACTGACTTCTAGAGATACTATTTTAGAATAAAGGTCGACGTCTCTATTTCTTCTTCAGCAACTCTTTACTTATTCAGTAAAAGAAATAAAATTCGCAACTCGTTTTCTCTCAACGAGAAACTAAATAATTTTTTAAACCGTTACATAACATGAATAGAAAAGTGAATATTTGATCCCGTGTTCGAACATATTTGATTCCCAGCGAACAGGCTGGCTGTATGGACTTTCTAAGGATCCAGGTTATACTTAGTTCCCTAAGTGTAACTTGGATCCTTAGAAAGTCCTCCACGAAGGCATCCCTTCTCTTAGATAAATAGCCCTTTGTCACATTCATATAAACCAAAGCAAGCCATCTATCCTGAAGTGATCATAAATGTTTTCTTTCTTTTTTCACTCTTCTGATTAACCTTTTTAAAATTCATTGTAAACAAAGTTACAAAAAATTTAAGCGAAAAAAAACCCAAAACTGAGAGAAAATTCAGAGTTACAACACAAACTATTCACTGTATAAGTACAAAAGGTGTAATGATGCTCATGGACACTCGTATCATTGTCTCGGAAGAGGTAAACAAGGCTAGTGTGTGCACCCGGGTCTCATCGAACATGTTCCTAACAAATGTTATATACCGAACAAAAATTCTGCATCCAAACAAGACGTATATCAAGTTAGATGGATTTTTAAGCGGACGTATACAGAGGTTGCTACTATACTTTGAATCATTGTTGTCTATCAATCCCGTAAGAAGTAGAAAATAATTTTGTTTAATTTTCCAGCTCTGTGCTTCAAGCTGAAGTCTTAAATAAGTCTTTAGTGGTTTTACATTGCTGTATTTATTAGTATTTCAGTATTGAAAGTGTGTCAGTCTAGAAAGTTAGAGCTAGTACTAATGTGCAGTTTACATTATGTCGAATTTATGTAATTATTTTAAGCCACTGAAAGAAATTGTAAAGAAGAGAAGATAGTTTTCAATATCTAATCGGAGCTGGTGATGAAGCAAAATTCTAGCTAAGAAAATTATAATTTAAATTAAGTATTTGAGAAGTATGATATTTATCATTTTAATTAAAAGTAAACATTTATATCTTATGTAAAGAGGGACTAAGAAATAATAAGAAAATAAAAGAACAATCCAAAATCAGACAGTAAATAATCTCCCGAAATCTTATGCAAAAATCCCGGAACAAATGAATTTGAACAAGTGAAACACTTGATGCTGATAATCGATCCTTAAAGAATATAAAGGTGAATTATATCAACAATAAGAGATATGCTGGCAGCAGCCAGATATGAAATATGCTTAACAAAAGCTCATTTACTTCCTGATTTGCTTCCACATTTACTTTAAAGTGCGTAGTTTAAAGAAACTGTAGTGCAGTCTCTGTATACCTGGCTCTATTCTGCTGTCGTTGATTTATTTGAATAATGATTTAATACGTAAATATATCATAGATTGAAATATTCATTATACCACCTACACTATTAACATAATTGGAGCCTAAAAGTTACACAGATTTCAAGATCATCAAGACAAAATAGTCGATAAGATGTTTATAGGACTGCTTTAAATCTTATTTAAATTAAAAAATTAGAACAATCTTGAGACTTCTAAATGGTAGCACTGGCGAGAAAATAAATCATAGCTAAAATATCCTCGTCCTTAAGTTAAAAGAATAAAATTCTGGGTAAAGCATTTGTGAGGAGCTCAATAAAAAGTTTGTTTAAAAGCATTTGGAAATTTCAGGGAAAAATTAACTATGTCAAATTTTAAATTAACGAAGATAATTGAAAAGAAAAGAAAATGTGGAATTCTGACTGGCGAAGATATAGAATATTTTGTAGATGCAGTTGTAAAATCTACAAGAGAAAATAAATGTCCCAGCCAAGCCGCTGATCGTTGTCAAATAGGTGAGTATGTATTTTGAAAGTTTTGGTTATAAGACTTGGTTTAAGAAGTATAAAGTATATTTATAAAAAGGAAGACATAAAGGATTTAGAATGTCTTTTGCTGTTTCATTAACTGAAAACTTTTAAGTTTATTGTAGTAATCTCTTATTAGGAATTTTTCAGTTTAATTCCATTTATTCTTTGACGTATTATCCTCAATTCTCTTTATTATTTATGGACGGATTATCCTCAATCCTCTTTGACGTGTTTCCTTTTTGTTTAAGTTGCTCAGTGATACACTGAGCATTTATTGCATCTATTTTATCCGAATATATGAAGGTTTCACAAATGCTGTTTTCTATTACTTGTGATATCCGTTCATTGCACGAAAATTAAATTATATTAGGAATATTACAAAGCATTTCTCCCCTCTTCTTAGCGTGACTTCGTGGTGTAATAGTCAGCACGCTCGGCGCGTATTCGAGAGGTCCGCGGTTCGAGCCCCGGCGACGACATTACACACTTTTCATGTCTTTTTCAAAATAATCTAATGTCTCTACAGTGGCGCCCGAACTGAAAAAAAGGTGGTGGATGATGATTCTGCACCACCAGAATTTGGCGATTGGGTTCTCTTATTCCCAGTCGCTATTTAAAAGAGGGGAGTATATAAGATATTTCTCCCACCTTCTTTGCATGCCTTCGTGGTGTAATGGTCAGCACCCTCGAAGCATATTCGAGAGGTCCGAGGTTCGAGCCCCGGTGAGGGCATTGCTCATTTTTCATGACTCTTGCTTTGAAAAAAAATCCTAATGTCTCTACAATATTATGTAATTATTACTGATACTTTTAATAATATTCTGTAATGATGCATTTTGCATAATTGTCCATTTGAAAACTTTTCTGCTGGCATGGAGCACTCCATGCCTGTTTAAAATACACGTATATGGAATATAAACATTGAAGCGGATAAGAATTATAAAAATGCATATTGTGTTTCTTTGCCTATTAATGAATGAGAAAGGGAATTAAGGTTTCTTTATATTTTTAGAACAATAACTAACTTAAAATAACTTAACTTACTTTTAATAAAGTATTTTTAATATTTTTCGCAAAGCCTTCCACGCAGTCACGCAGAAACCATTCTCAAGCTAGGAATAAATTTATATAGTTTTTCCGAAGTAATAGATTATTACTAAATATTTTTTTCGATGTAATATATTATCACTGACGCGAAATATTTTATTTTACAAATGCCAAACATTAGCGTTTAAGCCATTAGTTCACGGGCTTTCCAGTCCTCATACCGAGAAAGTCTGACGCAAAATATGTACGATACCTCATAAAATATCCTAATAATTCAACATTTTTAAATTTAAAACTATTTAAACAAAAGAAGGTACTTTGTGTTTTTGCATGTTTTATATGTTTTAGTGTGTTATATATTGTGTAAAATACAAGCTCATATAAATTAAACAAGCTTTTTTTTTTTTTTTTTTTTTTTTTTTGCAGAAAGTGAATAAAAATTAAAAACCTAAATAATTATGATTCATTACAAACTTTAATCAATAAAACCACGGAGAAAATATCAAATAAATTAAATCGTTTACACATTTAACAAGTATATTATAAAAGTGTATAAAAAAAAGGATTCGGTTTCTTTCCAGAATGGAAGAAATAATTTCATTTGATGATGCTTTCAACCATGGGATAAGAAACTTGCCATCCCTCTTTTAAAATTATCCAAGTGCAGAGTAAATCTAATGGTATTCCCTGTCAACCAAAGTGTGAAATAACAGCCCTGTGTCTAATTTTTGGGAGAAGACATGTAAAACTAAACTGAGAAATTTAACATTTTGTTCTTGCTTCTAAGTGTATGCTTTTAAAACAAAAAATTGCAACAATGTATGAAATTTTACATATTTTAAATAGACGTCCTGTTTGGTGAAGTGGTTCACTATGCTGGCTGCCGTATCGGTGGTCCTCTGCTCGATCCCGGAAAAGGCTTGGATATTTGCAAGCGCATAGTCCCCGAGCGACAAGAGGGTACTCAAAAAACTGGCGAGCCGAACGTCCTGTTGATAGGTTTGGTGACGGGAAAGAAGGATATGAGACCCTTGGACATGGTGTTTTCTATCAAAATTGAAACGAAAATTCCTCTTTCTTTGAGTGTAAAATCGATCACCGCCTGAAGTGCACCTTGGGTAAAGTTCTGAGTTGATGAGACAGCTAAATGGCCGACGGTATTGGCCATTTTCGTTGCACTGAATGATTTCAAGTGTTCGGCCTTTTGAAAGAACAACATGTTTTAAAAACACTATAAGAAGAATAGAAAGCCTCCCATATGTAAAGGCCCAAGGCAGGTGTTCTGCGTGCTCTTGGGTAAATTACGTCCTGACTATGGGGAATGCAGATTCGTAAGAAACTTCAAAATAGTTACAGGATGTTTCCATATGAGCGACAGCTACAACTCTCTTCTAGATGAGGATTAATGTCTGCCTTTTCCACTAGTCAGTGGTTGATTTTTATAGCTGTTTTTGAGAATTTTTGATGATAGCATTGTCCCCGTTCACTTGTAATTTCTAAAGAGGACCCTTGCAGTGTGTTATAAAGATTTTGAGGTTCATGGATCATAATGTGATCCTTTAGAAACCAAAATTTAATTATGCGTCCTGACATTGGGGAATGCAGATTGGTAAGAAACATCAAAACCGTTGTGGGATGTTTCTTTATGAGCAACAGCTACAACTTTCTTCTAGATGGGATTAATGTTTGCCTTTTCTACTAGTCAGTGGTTGATTTTTACAGCTGCTTTTGCGAATTATTGATGATAACATTGTCCCCGTTCTATTGTAACTTCTACAGAGTACACTTGCAGTTTCCCAAGTAGCACACGACGTTGCAATAGTTGAGTAAATGATATTTTTTTTAATAATGCCTTTTGTTTAACCTTTGTTTTTTAAAACACTGTTTTGAAAGTATGATTTGTTTAATTTTCACTTTAGTCTGAGATCCACGTAGAAAATAACAGCTCCAAAATTTATTCATATTTTGATGTTGAAACCCTTAATATTTTAGTATTAAAGCTTGTTTTTTATTATTTTTTGTAATCAAGATAATTCTGTGAAGCATCATAGTAATTACGAAGTATTTCCCAAAGAATGAATAACATATGATACATTTAACCAGATTTTCGATATTACAAAGATAAATTTCAAATTTATTTAATATAAGGGATATTCGATCTAAAAATGCAAGGAAGGATTAAAGGGGGAAAGGGAAAAAGAAAATATGAATGAACTTTATTCAATATGGGATGTGCTTGAGCTCATATTATTAGGATTATAGTGAAGAATGATTGAGATTGACCATCATGATTATGTATGTTTATAATATACACTGTATGTATCATTTGCCACTGACAGTGATAAGCCCAAGTAACAAGCATTTCTTCGGCAACTTACGGTTGCAACCATTGCAGCTACATTACGCCGCAAATTTTTTATAATTTAAAAAACACAGGGCGACTGAATTTAAAAGCTGCAAAGATAGCACGGCCGTCAAAAAAGCCTAGTGCTTACCCTGCCTTTTGGCAAAGTCCTATGTTCTAAATACTCCTTTCCTTTGCTTTGGCAAGGCTTCTAATTCTTATGTACTATTTAAGCAAAGTATTTTTTATGCATATAAATATTCAAAAGATATTACTGAGTCTCGAAGATGAAAGAATGATTAGCCTACTTCTTAAAATAAATGACTAGAAATAGTGTAAGTTAGCCCATTTAAACGTGCTTTTAAACAATACAATCTTCGTTATAATTATCCCCACTATCAAGGACTGACATTAAGGTTGTAGAGACATTAGGTAATTTTTGAAAGCAGGAAAGACGAAAAATATGCAACGCCTTTGCTGGGAATCGAACCGCGGACCTGTCAATTAAGGGCTGAGCGTGCAGACCACTACACAACGAAGGCGCGCCAAGAAGGTGGGAAAAATACCTTATATACTCTCCCTTTTAAAGGGCGCCTGGGGTTTTTAAGGGACCAATCGCCAAATCCTGAGTGAGGAGAACCATCATCCAACACCCTTTTAGTTCGGGCGCCACTGTAGAGACATTAGATAATTTTTGAAAGGAGGAAAGATGAAAAATATGCAACGTGTTCGCCGGGAATCAACCGCGGACCTCTCAGTTAAGCGCTGAGCGTGCAGACCACTACACCACGAAGGCTCGCCAAGAAGGTGGGAGAAATACCTTATAAGGTAACTGGCAGATGATACTGTGACTTTTACATAACTGGTAGATGCAACTGCGAAAGGACTCTTTAGACTTTGATGAAAGGAATGGAGTGGATCTGTTCAATATCATTGGATTACGTTAAATCTTTGCTATAAGGAAGCTCTGGAACCCTTGGAAGATTGACAGTTCGTAGGTACTAGGTTTGAAGAATAAACTAGAGGTACTGGTACCAGGTTTGGAGAATAACCCGAGAGCCATGGAGAGCTGAAACTTCCCTTTGTGAGCAATTATCATTTGATAGACCACTTTTTTCAAATTTGAACGGGTGATCTAAAAAAGCAGGCTAATATTGCACTAACGAGTTAAGTTCGTGATTGATTCCGCGTTGAAACGTTTCATATTAGTATATGACATTAACAGTCGTATTCGGTGCAAGCATTTCTAATTTTATGGCATTCCTTACATTTTAACAACATACAACATTACATTTTAACAACATACAACATTACATTTTCACAATATTTTACATTTCCTTACGTTTAATTTTATGGAATTCCTTAGATTTAAACACAACATCATCTTTTGCTGATGTAATCCATATTTCATCTCCGATTCTGAAGTAGCATCCTTTGTCTACTCATCTGCACTTACTTGTGGCACTCATATGCAGATGGTGTTTACACACTTTTAGAACGATTTCAATAAGGAATTTAAACAAAGCAAATATTTTGGAATAAAAGTTTCTAAAAACAGCTTATTATCTGAAATGAGACATATCGTTTGCTCCTT